GATTGAATCTATATGTAAATACGTGGACAGCTCCTGAGGCTTCTGTCTCCTGCCTTGTTTGTCAGATAGCCACATGTGGGTTTAGGTGGATGACTTAAAACTGATGACAGCCCGTGGGAAGAACTGAGGAGGCATAGCTGATTAATTTCATTCAATTTAATGCAGCAAACACTTACCAAGCCCCTATTATGAACAGGGCCCTTTGGAGTTGATATTAGCACATCTTCTCAATTGATAGTTTTTACACAGCAAGAGCCAAAGCAGAAAGACTTCTTCAACCAGACTTCCTCTTCTGATTCCTGTGGAAGTAAATTTAATTTAAGCAGCTTTTGTTGCATCCCTACTACAAGCAAGGTGCTAGGCTACTGGTCAACCCATTGACACGCTTCACAATGGCACCAATCTTTCAGGTGTAAATAATGGCAAATCGGGTACTTGGAAAAAAGAATTTGGTATAGCAATACAGCATAAGATTATAGACTTTTGCAGAGCTGTATAACCCGAATACTCCTAGAAGTGCAAATATTAAAGCTACTAGAATTCTATTAGAGTCATGTACTCACTCTGCTCATTAATGTGGGTTTTTGACTAAGACAAGAAAAAGGTGCTTATTACAGACTGGTCAAAAAACATATTTTCCCTCATTATTGCCTGAACATTGATGGAATATTTATATTTTTTGTGAACATATTTATATAGTTCATTTCTGGTGTATTTTATCTATATAATTTCAAAGAGAAAATTTCAATGCGTGCATACATATTAGGGCCTTGTTATAAAAAATGATGTAATAAAAGAAGTAGAGGATACCAAGTAGTACCTGACATGGTTATGTCAGCCAACCGTGAGACCTTGCTAGGTGCCTGACTCTTTCCTAGGGGCTTTAATGGATTAACTAGATTCAGTGGGTGAATTCATTTAATAGTCACAACCTACCCATGAGGTAGGTACTCTTACCACTCCCATTTTAAAAATCAGGAAACAGGCACAAAGAGGTGCAGTAACTTACCCAAGGTTAGTAGTGGTCCCAGAACTCTGTGCAGAATCCATGCTCTTGCCCACGATTATATTACTTCCCAGGAAGCACCCATTCTACCTGGGCAGGTAAGAAAGAAATATGTTAAATACCAACCAGAGTTGACAGCAATAGAAGAGCTCTTTCAACATAATATGTGATTTTTTAATTTTTATTTTATTTGCAAAAATAGTCAATAATTACTGTAAGGGTTCAAAGGAGGGAGAGGCAGGTTCTGCCTGGATGGAATTGATCAAAAGTCAGAATGGTTTCTACATCACAACAACAATGCTAGAAGCAAGAGATAGGTGACAATGCCCTCAAAATTTTGAAGGAAAAAGGCAGAGGGCATTCCAGCTATGGTACAAGAGCAGTGGGCCTAAAGGGAAACCTGCCCCAAGAAGGAAGAATGCTTAAAATTCTTTTACCTGATGTAAGTGACCTTGTGAAACATTGTACTGAGATGTTATTGAACGTGGTAGTTGGAAAGTTGGAAAGATTAGCACAAAGAAAAAAAAAGTGCAAACGATAAAGCAAGGTAATTCATAACTTTTGGAAAAACTAAAAGTAGGGAAAATCATCATAATACATTATGATGCTTTTTATATGAATAATATTTGTATAACATATGAATGGAAACACTGAACATGGATTTAACCAAAAATTGTGATCTGATAATATGGGGTTGGCAGATAAGGGGATGGAAGCCTAAAAAAGCCACATCCTTTTAAACCACAACAGAAAATATACAATGTTTAAAACTGATGCATAAACACATAGAATACATGGGTTTTATTTAGAAATATAGAGATTTGAAAATGTCAGAAGAGACCTGCTAAAAGAGTTAAAAGTGGTTACTTCTGACGAGCAAGACAAATTTTTTAAATAAGCTTTTAGTATTATTTGACTTTTAAAATAACATGTATGAATTACTTTAATAAAATAATCATTTAAGATGTTAAAGTTGACCCTCTGAGTTTTCCCAAAATGTTTGGTATCCAAAAGACTCTCAATAAACCTTCTTTTCATGGTATTATTATTATCATTATTATTGGAAAGAGTCTTGGCTTGTTGTCAGGCGACATTGAATCTAATGATACCTGCCACTGACTCTGGGGATTTGGACAGGGCATTTAATTCACTGGACCCCAGTTTCTTCATTTATAAAGCACATGTATATAACCTCGTAGGCCTGCTCCAGACCTATTATGCTATGAATAGACCCTTTTATGCCACTCGCAGACACTGACAGGGCGCTGTCACACATGCAGAACTTGGCTGCTTTTAACGTCCCGACTTTGATCTGGGCCATGGAGCAGAGAAGACGGGGAATGTCTTAATCACTGATTCCAGAGCATGAAGGGTGACTGTGAGAGGAGGGCACTCTAGCAGCTNTGGACCCCAGTTTCTTCATTTATAAAGCACATGTATATAACCTCGTAGGCCTGCTCCAGACCTATTATGCTATGAATAGACCCTTTTATGCCACTCGCAGACACTGACAGGGCGCTGTCACACATGCAGAACTTGGCTGCTTTTAACGTCCCGACTTTGATCTGGGCCATGGAGCAGAGAAGACGGGGAATGTCTTAATCACTGATTCCAGAGCATGAAGGGTGACTGTGAGAGGAGGGCACTCCAGCAGCCGCAAAAGACAGAATCAGACAAGAGGATGTTAACCTCTGGAGTGATTCTTACTTTGCAGAGCTGGTGCGTTAAAATAGGGTGATGTACTTGAACTCACTTCGTAAAGTGAAAACCCTGTACGAGCCTAGGAGGTATGGATAGCATTGTTTGGGAAGGGGCCAGTGCACACTAGTGGGAAAAATTCTGGCCTGGGAGTTAAGACGTTTACATTCTTGTGTTGACTGCGCTAGTAATGCCCCGGGGAAGCTTGGACAAGCTCTCCCGTGTTCTTAATCTTAGCTTCAGGATGGGTGAAAGCATATTGATTCAGCTGGGGTTCTTCGGTTAACAGGGAAAGAAATCGGATTTGGCAAAAACCGAAAATTCCAGGAAGGACAAGATCCAGAGATGTTCTGGAGCTCCGGACAGGGCGGATAATCCAAAGACTGAACAATAAGATGGCACAGGCACAGCCTAACTGGAAGGGATGTGGGGGGTGCGTGGGGGGGGGGCACTTGAGCAGGAACCTAGAGGCCCTCCGCTGATACAGGGTGTCTTAGTCTGTTTGGGCTCCTGTAACAAAATTAGCAAAATACCACTGCCTGGGTGGCTTAGTCAAATCTCCTAAGAGAGATTATTGGTGCAAAGGGGGAACAAAGTATGAAGGTAGTAGACACTTGCATGGAGGGGGGGAGGCAGAGGAACGGAGAGCTTGCCAAAGTGGTAGCTGTCTCCAGGAATAAACTCTACGTTTCAGGAATTCTGGTCCCTGGGTGTCAGTCTAGGGTGGAAGGGGCGCTTTCCAGTTCCCGCCCTGTCCCGAACTCCCAGTGCGGACGCCAGGTGGCGCTCACACCCTAGTAGCACCGTGTCCGGAGCCGGCGGACTCTCCCCGTCTCCCTCCCAAAAAGCCGCGTCGGCTGCTGGGCCTCAGAGAATTGCGTTCAGTGACGCGCGGCCGCAAAACGGCGCCTGGCTGGGCCCCTCCCCGCGGCCTCAGCCGAGGCCAGCTGGGAAAGGGCCCAGCGGACGCAGGGCGACCGTGGGGCTGGCGTGGATCTTGTCCACGCTCACCGCAGGACCCGCGCGGGAGTTCAGAGCATGGGCATGAGGGTGCAATCGCCACGCGAATCTGGGAAAGCTGGGCACAACGCACGCGGGTGCCTCTCGAGGGCACCACGCCTGGCCCTTCGCCTCTCTCCATCACCACCCTTTAGCGGTGGAGAAATACCCCTCTTTCCAGTTTTCCGGGCGAGAAATGTTGTCTCACAAAAATGGGTTCTTGAGAAACACTGTTTCTATGCCTCCCTCTCCAACATTTGTGCGCACGTGCCAAGCTCGCCTGTACGTAACGCCACGGGTGTGTGGGGTGGCGGTGGTTGCACGGTTTAAAAATGGGTAACGATGATGACTTCCTGAGGGCGCCCAGGGGTGGCAGGGCAGGGCCAGTCCCTAGAGACGCGGCGCGCGCGGGGCGCTGGTGCGCTTCCAGTGGGACCTGCAGGGATCAGAACCGCCGGGGTGTTGGGTAAGTGCGGCGTCCCTGGCCTCGGCCCCGACCTGTTCATGAGGCTCTCCGTGAGTGGGGACCTGCAGGTTGGGAAGTCCAACCACAGGAAACTGCAGACATTCTTCCTTTAAATCCACAAAAATGTCAATTTCAACACCCCGGGTCATTCTCGCGCGCACTGGCGTTTGGCCTCGCTGCCCCTGTTGCGTTGCTCCTGTGAGATGTTCGGGAAAGGCGGCGAGGAGGGGAGGAGGGGTCCTCCGGCGGCGGGCGCGCCGCGAGCGCAGCGTCCTGGGCGCGGGAAGGCGAGGCTGGCTTTGGCACTGGGAAAGCGGGCGCACCGCACCTGAGTACCGGGGGGCTCCTGACCCTCCCCAGCGGCAGCACGCCGGGCTTAAGTCGCAGTGGTGGGGAAAAAGCGCCTTTTCCTGCGCGCTACACTCCGCGGCGCACCTGGGGAGCCCCCAGGTCTGCGGGAGCGCGTGCACCGGGCGTGCGCGGGGCGGGGCGGGCTCCTCCGAGCAGCTTTCTGGGG